GAGAGAGATTTTTGCCATGTCTTATGGATCCAGGAGATAAGGCATACCGGTAATCGGGTAAATATTTAGATGCCCGCTCTTGTTCGAGAAACCGAAGCAAAAGACTGTCTCACACATATATCGGTAGTCGAGATTTCGCTACCGTATTCTGGAAAAGTGGCAAAAAAACGCCCAAGGGCTGAGCGCTCAGCCTCTGGGCTGGAGGACAAGAAAAAAAAAAGCTCCAAACCTTATTAGGGGCAACTTAAGCGATATAGATTAGCACTTGGACCAGTTGCCTGGGCTTTATCCCCGCTGATCGTCCAGGTCTCACGGAACCGTACTCTGGTAGCGAGAGGTGTTGCTGTGCCGTTCGCAATCATGACTCGGGTGGGAAAATGACCCAGAATCTCACTAACATACTCGAGTATGATATCGTACTGCGCTCGAGTACAGCCCTATCTTTGACGAATTAACCCCCTGCCCATAAAATACGCCTGTTAGTCATTAGACCAATTTCGTCGCCCGAGTAAAGAGTGTGGAGCCGAGTACGGCAGAGGACTGTGCAGTATCATACCTGTAGTGACACTTTCGCCTACTGGCACAATAACTCAACTGCGGTACCCCCCAAGGTACTATCTTTCAGCCTGATACAGTACAGTACCGTATTATCAAAGCCCTCGGGCCAGCCTAGCCCACAAGCTCAAGGCATCCGAACAACCAACCCCAACCTTACTTCACAGAACATTCAACAGGTGCAATGACCACCCCTGCCCGACTATAACCACTCCCAGGCCACTGGCGGTCACTTCCCCCTGTGATTTTAGCTAACCACCCATCTATCACTTCAATCTCCTGCACCACAGGCAGTATTAAGCGGCTCCACACCGCCGTCCGCTCCCTCCCCGGCAGGGCCAGGAAGGAAGAGCTGAACACGGTACATACCGGTACTGTGATTTAGGGACAGAACAGGAAACAGGGATGAGATCAGCCTTACTGAGATGGAAACAGTCACACGAACAACCACCATCCCTTCCTAGAGCGATCACTAACACTCCTAGAGTATCATACCCGTAAGGCTACGAATAGCAACTGCTGGAGCGGAACTAAAATCTCCTGCTAACCAAAATTCCTCCTCTTGGACTCGCATCTGCCTGGGCAGTTTTGAGCCTCCTGCGGCTACGCCTTCCCGACGCGAACTCGAGGCAATATGGTAGGGCAAGGAAGGTAGCGAATATTAAAGGGGATTATCTACCTCATGATAATTTATTAAGATGACGGGGATATGCGAATTGGGGGGTGTAGCCTAAGATGATGAGAGAGTGTGCGAGAGGTGGAGAGATGGAGAAACATATG